AAATACGGCTGTATAAATGTCTCGCAGCCCCTTGGCGCGCGCACTCACAACAATGGCTGAGCGTAATTGTGCGGACGTATTTTACCTCCACAAACAGCTGAGACATGGTTTGCGATACATGTGGCAAAAAAGTGCTCCAAGAGTGAGGTGTTGTGGCTATACTTTCCCAACCGTGAGACCTCAGAATTAGGGAGACATTCAAAAGGGCTGTTGGGGGGGGGGTCGATAAATACATTTTACAGTGTTTATTTATCGGATAAAATACGTTAAATGTCACCGTTATTATTGGCCGGCCCAGAAACAGCTGGCGTAAACTCTCGACCGTCTCACACTTTGTTTAATTAGTTTTCTGTTTAATGTTTATTCAGCTGTGTGAAAGCCCCAGAGGAACCCACCCGAGGGATTAATAAAGTTAAATTTTATTTAATCTAATCTAATAACTTTAATCTCAGCCAAACCGATTTACTCACGAACAAATAAAACACTGAAAAAAGCCAAACAATAACATTTTTAAGCTATCAAAGTGACTTATATCTCATGTTTAACCCAAGTAGCGAAAGACCGTGGGGGTTTGAAGACGATGTGTCGGTCGGCTCAGATATTTGAAGTTTACACAGCTACATTCTCACCTGAAAATATGTTAAAAGTTTTTTTGTGACCCAGAAAGAGAAATAAGAGTAAAATTAAAACTAAGTAGCTGCCGCCATTGTTGGAAACTGGAATTGGCTGGGCCGCGCTATGAATTCTGCAATATGGTTTTTCAATTTTGCTGCCCGGGTGGAAAATCGGGAGAAATTCGGGAGAACTGTTGCTCCGGGAAATTTTCGGGAGGGGCACTGAAATTCGGGATTCTCCCGGAAAAATCAGGAGGGTTGGCATGTATGGTTGTGGCAACATCACTAACCTTGTCAAACACCTCAGAGTAAATCATATCACAGAATATGATGAGCTTATGTTGAGGCGAACTGAAGAGGAGGAGAAGGACAGGTGCTGCTAGGGCAAGACAGACGTCTCTCACGGAGTCCTTTAGTGCTGCAGGCAGGCAAGGTGTTCAAATAGTGCACAACTTCAGTTTTTTTATTTCTATATGATGAACTCTGCATTATTAAGTGATAAGACCAAGTAATCTGATGTCCTGTAATCATTATGATGCTATAATTTGAGATACAATAAATAAAATAATGTTTTGTACAAAGTATCGGTATCGGATCAGTATCGTCGATACCATCCGGAATATTACTTGGTATCGGATCGGAAAGGAAATCAGTGGTATCGCACATCAGTACAAAACAACAGGGTCGTGTGACAAGTATAACAGAGGCCTTGTTTTATTTCGACACACAGACGGTGGAGACGTCACTGTAAGAGGAAAGAAGAGACAATTGTTGGAGCTTTTCTGTTGTATAATTGCTTCACCACAGTTTGTGGTAACATAAAGCAGCTAACATTAAGGTCGTGGAATGGCTGCGCTTAGAAGTCGGTCTGTGCCAGGAAACCATGAACTTTACCAGTTGTGAGAAGAAGAGATAGCTCATTTACGCAAATACATCAGCAAGCCATTTTAAACACGGACCAGAGAGGATGGGAACAGGCAGGTTTTCTACATCTGCGTGTGTGGGATTGGCTGCCCGCTCTAAAAGGGGGAGTACGGTCTATGACAAGCACTCAAACTCACACACACAGACACACACACACAATCTGTGTGTGTCTCTTTGTGTGTGTCCTTGAGAGTAAGTGTTGATGATGATGCAGCTTTTCTGAACCGAAACTGAAAGTGTTCTTTCAGGATGACGTGAGGGGGATTCAGACATCACCTGCTCTCAGCTGCATCCAGTCCTGGTCCCGGTCGATCGGATCGTCGTCCTGCCCGCACGGAGGTACTTTCAGCTCCTAATGAGTCATCAGAGGAGTAAAGGTGAGCTCATCTATGTTTCGGTTCAGGTTAGACTCAGCAGTAACACCTCCTGCTCCTGCTGCTCACGCGCCCTGCCCTCTCCCGCTGCTCCTTCAGACACAGAGCGGCCGGTGAGGAGATTAGCGGAGCTGCGGAGTCCCTGTCGTCGGTTTGACGTTTGTGTGTGTGTGTGCTGGTGATCGATAAGCGGACTCATTGATCTGATTGATCGGACTGTTTGAAGTGTTTCCATCAGACTGCAGGTGGTGCTCTGCTGGGGAAGTGCAGAGTCCGCACCAAACTCCGTTCAAAAAAACTCAAATTTACGGCGCAGCAGCGAGTTTCACTCTGGTGTTCATATCAGTGCTTCATGCTGCCGCTCAGGTTTAGCTGGAAAATCTGTGAGCCCTCTGCAGTGGACCCGAGCCTGTCAGCTTACACTGTATTGACTGTCTGCAGCAGGGCTTGGTGTTTGTGATCATTTCATCATCATTATCCATTGCAGTACTTATATCTATGTAGCGTCACAGCAGATGCCTTTGTGCCAAAGTAACTGAGGATAAAAACATGAAGGAGATTTTCCCGGCCTGGCTTTTTATAGCAGATAACCGCCTTAAAAATATTCTGTAGTAGATCAAAAACAGAAGAAAACCATGAAAACATACCTGATGCTGCTTAAGTAAAGTAGAGCAAAGTTACAGAGGTTTGATTAGAGAGACAGCTAAGCAATCATTTGTAAAAGTTTAAATTTCTTTAGCATTGAACAGCAGAAATGAGGCTTTCATGTTGGAGGCCGACAGCACTGAACACAGCGGTAGACTTGTGCATAATAAGCAGCAAATAATGCAGAAAACAGATATTTTTGATGGTAAACTGGTCTCTGAGTAAACTGATAGAGAGAGAGAGAAAGAGAGAGAGCTGTGCAGGGAATAACAGCCAAAGTAAGAGGGAATTAATGACGATTTTTATCAAATGTGAAGCCCAGTTTCGATCTTTTGCTGCTAGTTAAGCGATGAAACCTGATGTTTCAGAATTTTTTAGATTTTGGCTTTCAGCACCAACGGCGTGTCTGTGTTGTGTGCCGTCAGGTGAACGAGCCCTGCTTTGTGTTTACATCTTTTTCCGTTTTCCCGCTCTTTAATCGTTGCTGTTTTAGCTGTTTTGCAGTTGTTGAAATAGTTTTGTGAGCTCTAAGCTAAGATTCTGGCAAAATACATTTATATTTAAAATTCGATTCAGGATTTAATTAATCGATATCAGCTGCACATATTCATTCATCATCTTACTGACTGCAGCAGGAGGTGCAGAGGAAAGTGGAGAAGAAGGAGGAGCCTGGAGCAAACTGCTAAAACTGAAGATCCCCTCAAAGATCTGGAAGAACCGCAAACTGCACAACAACAATGAAGGTGAGACCTGCAGAAGCCCTGCTAGAACCAGGTAGCTCTCCAGGACCACAGACTGTAGATGAAAGATGGACATAGCAACAGTCACGTCACCCACTGGTAGCTTTCGTGAAGGCTCAGTTTGAGGATTTTCTCTATGTTAGTTTTTGTTTCCAAAAATGGCAACATGTGGACGCTAATGGTAGCTAGGTTAGCATAGACTGAATGGGAGCATCTTACCGAGATGGTGCCTGCTAATTAGTGCTCAGTGACATCCAATCACAATACTTTCACCAGAGTTCTGCCCTCTTGGACAGTCTATTAGTACAGTAACCTCACAGCAACTATACGATTGGTCACATGATTTCATTTAAAATGGTTCAAAAGGCTCCAACAGGACAAACACAGTCCAGAAGTCCAGTTCAGGTGAAGCTTGCTAGCTACCAGCTATCCGGTTGTTCAGTGATGACGCGACGAATCCTACACAGCAAATCCAGCATATCCAAATTAACACTGTCGGATTTGATTTCAACACTATTAAAGTGTCTATATGGGTCCACACCAGAGAGTGTTAATTTAACTCTTTTTGGAGAGTTGGTACGTTAACTCTGATTTAGTGTTAAACACCAAATCTGTCTGGAGTTGATAATTTAACACTTGGTGTTAAGAGTTTATATATTAACTCTCAAAGAGTATTTTAGTTTAACTACGTAAGAGTTATCTTCTAATTCATTCTAAAAAGCGGGAATTTTACTGTTCTGAACTTCTAGAAATTTCTTTTGGAAATAAACATTTACTAAAAAGATGCAATGGTTTTTGAAAAACATTTATTCTGAACTGTGCACCACAATTTCAAAACATTTTCTGAAAGATGTAACAGTATACATGTTCTCACTTTCATTAGAATTTTGTTTATCAAAAGGTCTGACATGGTAAATGCAAATAACAGCATTCTCATCACTTATTTCTTCAATACAATATGCATGTCCTTCATTCATCCCTTTGTGGAACTTCAACGCACTTCTGCTCTCCCCCATATTCCATCTTCACAAGCATATCCTGTGCGGAGATTGAATAAAAATTAGTTGACACTAATTAATGGCACAAATAATCCAGTAAACAATTGCAGCACAGTAAAAAAAAAGGAATCCTCTTTGAGCCATTACTTGTGTAAAGTATTTTCCCAAAAGACAAGGACACAGGCAACAGGTAATACTGAACTAAATGTAAAACCTCAACCTTTTTCATTTTTACCTAAACCGTGTGCACAAAACTCTGGAGGGATCTATGCTAACGTAGAATCCAGTCAGGACGTCTGCTACTGCTGTTTGCTCGTTTTTTTTTTATGGGCGATCGTTTTCAGGCTTCAAGTAGCACCATTATACCAACATTTCACATTCTACACATTGTTTTAGGTGTATTTGACCAAAAGTTTGACTGAAAATTCACATGCAAGCTTTTTTTCAAGGCTGTGGTATTTGCCCGCAAACAATACCTTTCAGCTAGCTAAAACAGAATATTATGCTATCAGCGAGCAACATGGCTAATGCCTTTCACACAGCTTTGTCTCAACTCCAAAGAGCCACAGAAGTAAAAGCTAATAACAATTGAAACAATCTTTGAAAAAATGACTTACCAAGCATGGCAAACAACTCAAATATGTAGAGCAAAATGTTCTGAAACGGCTTCACTTCAGCTTCGATTGGAGCCGTGCTGGGGGCGGAGTCTGTGAATTTACTCTGTTGGTGTCATAGCCCCTCTAGGAGTTCAGAGTTAAGAGGTCAAGAGTTAATGTTTCCATTGTAACACCTCCAGATTTGACAGAGAAACACTCATTTTTAACACTCGATTTTAACTACTATCATTTTACACCTCAGAGTTACATTAAAAGAATGTGACTCTGCTTAGAGTAAAATTAACTCTACTTTTGCAAGGAGACTATTAACACCAAAAAATTTAACACTTTTGAATTTGCTGTGTACTTCCGGGTCTAAAGTAGTCTGCGTTTAATATGGCTTTTGTGTTGTTAACATGTTTAATGTTATGTATTTTCTTCTATTTGATCTCAAAAAGCTCCTAAAACAGTCAGTGATCACTGTTGACCTCCCTCGGCTTTTATTACCGCTAATCATTTATTTAAGCTCAGTTTTTAAAACCTTAGGATGTAACTACAGCCCAGCCCATGCAGCAGTATATGAATGACTAACCTCGTATTGTGGATGGATTATCTCAGTTGTTCTCCTGGCTGAAGTTTGGTCCTTTTACAGCATCCTGCCATGCGATTACATTTGTTCCTGACCACCGAGAACACTCACGTTAACTTTTATCGAGTGGAAAAAAAGTTAGCTTGTTTATATTATGCTAACATAGCTGTGTCGCTAGCGGTCACGTAGCACATCATTATATACCAGCTAGCCCAACTTCAGTAACCCTACAAACGTCACTGCTGTTTAGTTTTCTGTCTTCATTTATGCTGGAAGTGATAGCAGAGCTGTACGTTTTAATTTGTTTCCAAAACCCCGCAGTCAGGACATGCTATATTGTATTTAGATAGAAGCTAGCGAGCTAACTCCCTGCTAACTTCTAACTCCGTTAAATGTCATAAATTCCGTTTTCATGGATGCCTGGATGTTAAACTCAATTGTTACACCTGGTAGAGCAGAACGCTGATCATTTTATTAAAGATGAAAGACTTTAGACAGTTTTTCAACTCTCAGTAATGCCATAGTGATCGTTTGATATATGGACCTGCAGCGGAGTTTAGGTCCAGACACGGCGAGTGACGTCAGACTGAACATCGGATAGTCTCCTGTGTCAGTGAAAATAGGCGACTCCCCTAATAAACAGGGGAAGTATAAAGACCCCACCACCCCATTCATGTGCAATGAAGGAAAAGACCAAACTGTTTGTTTATCAGGCTGTAAATATGTTTATTTGTGCTGTGAAGTTTTAACATGGGAGTCTATGGGGGTGACTCACTGCTGTTTCTGCTGGATATCAGAGGAACTGCAGGTGTTTGGTTCACATGAAGAATGAGAGCTAGCAGGACCTGATCTGTTGATGGATTTAGCTCCTGTGGTTTTTTGCTTCTGATGCTTTCTGTTTTCTTCAGGGGATGAGGTCAAGCAGGTGCAAGTGGAGCAGGAGGAGCAGCTGGAAGAATCAAGCAGGAGGCTGATAGAGAGGGAGGAGGACCTGTTCAGCTATGACTCTGTCAATGAGGAAGATGAGGACGAGCTGCACAAAGACTTCGAGGCTCTGCAACTGAAGCTGTGGATGGCCATCAATGACACCTTCACCCCCTCCTCCTCTGCAGGGGAGCTAAAGGTCCTGAGGAGTGCCATGGTGTCTATCCAGCAGCAGGAGGCGCAGGACCAGCGCTGGAGAGACTGTCAGGAGGAGCGAGTCCCAAGATGGCGTCCTCAGAAATGTCTCAGCATCCACAACATACTGCTCCAGAACATGGTGGAGGGCCGAATAAAGGAGGCTGCCAAAGACACCCCGGGAGGAACCGACTGGCTCTCTTCACCTGTGAAGAGACAGGTTAGTCACCTGGGAGGAGGTGTGGGAGGAGCTCTGCTGGTACTCAGTTTGAGCTGGATGAGAGTTTTTTTTTTTTTTTTTTTAAATTCAAGTATTTATTAGATTTTACATTTTATAATAACAAATACAAAAATACAACAACCAAAAACAAGAAGCAAAAAATCAAAACAAAAACAAAAGAGAACAAGAAAAAAGCAAACAAAACAACAAAACAAAACATTCAGGTAGACATGTAGGTGCAGAAATTGCCCCATTGTTCCACCAAAGCTTCCGTCACATGATCTTACCTTCCCAACATCTTTTCGCAAGTAAGGTTCCCAATCATTCTGGCCACATTTTAAGCATTTGAGTATAGGTGTCCTTTCAGTATTCCAAAATGACACAGGCACATGTTACTGGTGCAGTGCTTAACACTCTAAACTGGTGTTTATTTAATTGTGGCACCTTTCTTTTATCTCCTAGTAGACATAATTTAGGTGATTTGGGGAAGTTACAAACCTTCCATCCCTGCATATAATTCAATACAGTGTTCCAAACTGAAAAAACAAACAAACAGCGGGCATTCAGGGGGCATGTATCAGTACCTTTGGCTTGTTGGCATTTCCAACACAAGTCCTCTCTACCAACACCCATTCTATACAGCCTTGAAGGAGTATAATAATATACATTAAGATTTTTTACTGAATAAATTTCCCCCTGGCTTCCCTAATGTATAATCCATTGTTTGACAATATAGAATCCCATGTACCTTCATCCATTGTATACCCTAGATCCCTTTCACATATTTTCTTCAGGCTCTTATTTATATTATTTTTAATCCATGGGCAAATATTATACCGTTTCGCAGCTTTGCACAGTAATGGGGGTAACAGCATGAAAATCTCTATTGGGCTACTTTTGTGTGTTATTGTAATTCCTCCTTTTAAACAGTTTCTTATTTGCAAATACTTCCAAAAATGGCCATAACCCTCCAAACAAAATTTCTTTTTAATATCCTCATATGACATGAAAGCACCCCCCTCAAATAGGTCACTGATACCTCTTCTTAGCCATTGTGCCCAAAAAACAGTCTGCTTACCAAATTTAATTTTAGGATTATACCACTTTTGTGCATAGGGCACAAGTTTATATTTCTTATGCATCTCCAACCATACCATTTTTGAAAATTTCAAAATAGGATTTTTTGTCTTACACTCTTTATTTACTTTTTGTGATAAAATATCAATTGGTGTGAATGGAGACGCAAGCTCTTATTCAATTAAAATCCAGTTTATCTTGTTTTTCTCTGCTCAATGTTTTCCTAATCTAGCCATTTCAAAAGTATGCTTTAATAATCTATATTGGGCAGGACTAGTCCCCCTTTTTGTTTTGGTTGGGACAGTCGATTAATGTTAATACGGGGTTTGATGAGAGTTTTTACCCTACTTCCTGTTTGATGAACCTGTCCAGGTGTGTCGAGTGGGAAGATGTGTGAAGGAAGACCTGCTGACGGTGGTGAGGAGGGTGAAGAACTGCTACCCTCCTCACATGGACATCATGAACCTCTACGCCGGCCTGTACCATCAGGAGTTCTCAGCCCACCTCACTCAGCTCACCGCTGCAGGGCTGGACGACGATGACTGCAGCTACCTGTTGTCCTGGGTCAACCAGTACTACCCACAGTGAGTTTGTGTGGCACCGGGTGTGGCAGCGCTGCCCACAGGCCAAAGAGCAGAGTGCTAATCACCATAGCAACAACCATAACAACAACCCTGAAACAAATCAATGCGAACCTAAACACTTCTACTGAGCTTAACCATGACAGCAGAACCATTACTGGGGAGCCGTTATTGCAGAACTGTCACAGCAGAGCTGTTACAGCAGAACCGTTACAGCAGAGCCATTATTGCAGAACCGTTTCAGTAGAACCGTCATAGCAGAACTGTTACTACAGAGCCGTTACTACAGAACCATCACAACAGAGCCATTAAAGCAGGGCCATCACTGCAGAACCGTCACAGTAGAGCTGTTATTGCAGAACTGTAGCAGTAGAAGCATCACAGTAGAGCTGTTACAGTAGAACTATTACAGCAGAACCATTACTGCAGAATGGTTACTGCAAAATGGTTACAGCAGAACCGTCACAGCAGAGCTGTTACATCAGAACTATTACAGCAGAACTATCACAGCAGGTCCTGTCTGAGCATCAGTCCTCTGCCTTACCTGAACACAGCCCAGATTCCTGCCGCGCTGTGAAACATTCACAATTATTTATTTAAACCATCAGCCAGACCTGCAGGTCCCAGTTCTGGTCCACAGGCCTTATCTTTATCCTCTCTGTAATAACCACTGGCTAGTTTCTTTTGCATGATCGTATTCTGTCAGACTCATGCTTATGAATGTGAAGGAGAGAAGTTAGTGTGTGTGATTTCTGATCTTTTCTCAGTGTGGTCAATAAGACTTCAGAAAGTTGTCACGGTTGAGGATTGAGTGGACTCAGGCACGGAGCTGTGAATATAAGCAGTGCGTTTATTTACAGTGGATAAAGGTTGACAATAGTTAAAATGTGCAATGATAATAGTTGGTGTGTCCTCCTTCCCGTGCTCAAACCGTGCGTGGTAGTGAGTGCCAGTCTCTCCTCCAAGTGTTTCCTTGTGCTCGTGAATCCTCCGTCCCAGTTCCTAGTTGCACACAGACAATAGTAATGAATAACCAAAAAGAGCAGACAACACTGAGCAACATGAGCGGCTCGTAACATTACCAGGCTTAGTGCAATACTCCAACGCTGTCGTTCGCTCAGCCACACCATTAAATAGCCCTGCCCAAGATGGTGGATGATTGGTAGCAGCTGGTGGAGAATCGGTTGCATGTGAGGCAGCTCAGGGCCACAGCGCCTCCGGGTCGGAGGTCCCTCGTTGCTATCCGACCTCCGTAAACACCACAGCGGAGCCGGAGGGAAACAGAGCGAGAGAGGAAAACACACACACACATATACACACAGGCGGGTTGACCGGTCGGGGCACCGTCCGACCCTGACAGTACCCCTTCCTCTAACGCGAGCCACATGGCGACCCACCAAACTTGTAAGGGTGCCGGTGGCGGAATTCTCTCACCATGGCATCATCGAGAATTGCGGACCGCGGCACCCAGGAGCGCTCTTCCAGACCATACCCATCCCAATCCACCAAAAACTGAAAACCTCTACTGCGGTGCCTAGCATCCATAATGCGGGTGATGGAGTATGCCGGGGCGCTGTGGATAATCTTTGATTCAGTTTTGAGTGGAATGTGTTTGGTTGAGAGCCATACCTGCTGGCCCACCTGGTACTCTCAGAAAAATTATGGTTCTTAAATGGTTCTTCAGATGTCTTCATGGTTCTTTAAAGAACCATCATATGTCAAAGAACCTTTTTATTTTGTAGATGGTTCTTTAGGTACTACAAATGGTTCTTTAACACTTAGAGTCCCCCGAGAGCAGCAGTGCCCAGCCTTCTACCTTTCTACCTTTAAAACCCGCCTTCCAGCCAAATGGCTGGTAGGCTTTTAGCTAGGCTTTAGCTTCAGCCAAGTGGAAGCTAAATTGTCTAGTCATTCATATGTAAATTAGGTTGTTACCTGAGAATTCTGGAGGGGAGTGGGGAAGGGAGAGGACGGGATACCTGGCAA